CCCCTGACTGTGCTAAACCTTTAGGAGCCTACACACCCCAAAAACTTGGCTTTAAAAAAATATATGTAATATCATTGATATATTAATGGACCCAGGTAAAAACATCAGCATTTTGATGCTTTCTCCTGGGTGTGTGCTCCACCACAAAACTGAATGTCTGAAGTGCTTGAAACCACCAGGTCACCCTAGCATGTGCCCCTGCAGTGGAGATCAATACTGCCACTCAGTCCCCTACCTGGAAGTGTCTTGCTTTCGCTGTACAGTTATAGACATGGCGTGACTCTTGGGTACATTGCAGCAATCAATCTCCAAGGTTTCTGCCCATAGACCAATTCAAAAGGTGAGAACCTGGTGGATTCTTGAGGAACTTCTTTGTCCTTTCTGTCTTTGTTACCACCATTTTCAAAATGGATATTATTGAACTATTCAACCCGATTACTTTAAGTAATTGGCAGCTTTTGTTCTCATATCTGGGGAAAAGATGGATTCATTGCTCTACCTTGCCCTTCTCCTTACCCCGCCCAAAAGCCTTCTTTTCTTCTTCTTTTTCTCTTTTTCTCCTCCTCCATTGCTCTTTACACCATTCCTTACCTACCTTCCATGTTCCAACATTAACTCCCATTCTCCTTACGATACCTTCTCGTTATATCCTGGTAAGAAAATCCCCCTGTTACAGTTAACTATAAATTCTTTGGGATTTTTTGGGGGTGTTTTCCATAATTAAAACTATGGCACTGATGGCACCGTACTGACTGGTTGTTTTCTGTAAACAAAAGAAGGAAAAAACCCTCAATTTGGGGCTGCTATTACTTGCATAGATACAAGAAGAGATAAATGTATACCTTATTAAACATGTCTACGGTATGACGCCACTTTTTGGCTGCAACCTGAACGATTACACCTAGAAGTTGGAGGTCTATGCAACCCCTCTATCTTAGCAGTTTTGGTGGGTATGTGAGGTTGATTGTATTTAACAACTTAAAAGAACAGTCTTATGGGAGAAAGACAGATATGAGCTTTACTATGTTAACTGAACTCAACTGGTCCACTTTAAGTCTTTGGTAGCTTTTTTTCTCATATATGAGATAAAGATAGAGTCATTACTCTACCTTGCCTATCCTTGCCATTCCTTACCTACTTTCTTTGCTACAACTCCCCTTTTTCCTTTATACAAATCACACCCCGCCCCCTTCCCTTTTGCCTTACGATACATTTGCATGGTATTCTGGTTAGAAAATCCCCCTGTTACGGTTAAAAAAGATGGTTTTATGGGTTCCCATCCTTAATACTGGCACTGCACTGGCTGGATGTAAGCAACAAAAGACAAAAAAACCCTCAATTTTGGGCTGCTACTGCTAGACATGTGCGCTGGCAAAATTTTGTTTTGTTTAATTTTGGATTTCTTATTTAATTTTTTGGGATTCGGGTCCGAAAGTCATTTTGTTTCATTATACGGATTCGCCTGAATCTGACATTTTTGTTAATTTCGGATGCGTTAGATAATTAGGAAAGTGACAGAAGGAAAGAAAAAAGTGAAATTTTTCTTTCACACACACACACACACACACACACACACACACACACACACACACACACACACACACCCTTTAGGTCTGGTTGGAATTTTAGGAGGGACCCCAAAGCCAAAACAAAAATGCAGGGTCCCTCAGAGACAGGGCCAGATTCCACACAAGGCCACTGAAGTCTAGCCTTGGGGTGGCAAAGAGTGGAGCGGCGCCACAGCCAATACTGGCCCCATGGGTGTGGTTTTTTTGTAGCCCAATGCCCAGGATATGCAGTGCCGGGCAGGTCGTTTTTTCTACATTTAGCCCCACTTCGGGCAAGCAGGGCTAAATGTACAGCAGGGAAACCGGTGTTTTAGTACAAGTAATCCCAGCAATGCTGCCCCCCACCTCGCTGACCCCCCCGGGTGCACCCCTACCTCCGACCGCCTCTGTCGCTGCTGGCCGCCTCCCTCCCCTTCCGGGGGACCCGGGACCACGGCAAAGTAGTGTTGGATGGAGAGCAGAGCGGAGAATGTGCGTTCTCCGCTCTGCAGCCTTCCCCTCTCAGCTGTTACAGGAGTTGTAGCACAGTGCTGGGCTTGCATTCCTGTATTGGAGGTGACAGGTTCAATAAAGAGAACACTGTCACCTCAAAATGCTATCACACAGGGGCTTGTTAGCTCCAAAAACCAAGGTGGGGTGCAGGGGGGAACCTATGCAAGCTGCTACAATTAATCTGTAAAGTACAATCTCCGCCTGCTAAAAAAAATTTAATAACAGCTTACATAATATATTGACTTTGTCTGTGCCAATTGAGTCATTAGTTGCTAAGACACTGGTGGCTCCACAGTGTGACTGGTTTTCATGGAGCGTCTACCTGCAACCATCATTAGTTGCTAGGACACAGGCAGCCGTGGGTTTGGTTTACCTGGACATTCACCAGCCCTGCATTTCTGACTGGGTTCAGCAAACGTCCCAGCGAACCGCACCCAGGCCAGTGCCCTCATCACTAATAATGAACAAAAGCACAATACAGAATTACGATAAAAAGTTTTCTGGCACAAATATATTAAGATTTCTATGCTTGAGTGTTGTAAATATATAAAATAAGAGCTGGTATTAGCAACTATATTAATAAGTATTCCTGTTGTTTAGGATCAGTTTTAATCCCTTTAATGTAGAATGGATTTTGTTTAAATATTTATACATTTTGATGTGAGCTGGGCTTATATAGAATGTTGTGATCTATACAGTGTGCTTATGTACGTATCCTTTGCAGTTTTCATGTCCGTGTGTTTTAGCCCTGAGGAAGGGGGAATTTGTTTGACTCCTGAAATGCAATGACTGTTCTGTGTTTACCTTCTGAACCCTTAGTAAAAATGGGTGCAGTGAGAAGAATGGGGTAGAAAAGAGAAATAAGGAATGCAAAGAATGCAAAGCCGTCAATTATCTAGAAGTATCTTTTTTTAGATTGTCATTACTGAACATTACTATAGGTGTCTTTGTTGCTATTTTTAAGATATGAGTAAAGTTCCTCTTTAATCTGTGTCTTCTTAAAGTCCAACTTTTATCCTCCACCCGAAATCAGAAAGACACTCACCCTTCTGATCGCACCTCTGATTACAGAAAGGCTTAGCACGCTTGAGGTTCAAGTATGTTCTTTTAATCTACCATGGCTTTGCTAGCTTTGGGCTACTTTAGTCTAAAGGTGCCCATACACTGTACAATTATCGTACGTAAATCGTGGGAAATCCCGCGATCGTACGATAATCGCAAAGTGTTTCTACTGTACGGTTGCACGTCTTCCGTCGAACAAGCAGGTTGAAAACCCGCCGAGGATCGTACGATTCTCGGCGGGTTAGTGGCCTGCTTGTTCGACAACTGCCGAACGGGCACACTGCCCGTTTGCAGTCATTGGAAGCCTGCCCCTCATTGCAGTCATCGCAAGCCCGCCCCTCAGTGGGGTGGGCTTGTGATGATCGCAAGTACGATCTGCTTGTCCAAGATGGGCAGATCGTACAAGCTTTTAATTAGCTTACAACCATCGCAAGAGACAAAAGTCTTGCGATGGTTGTAAGGTGTATGGCCACCTTGAGGATGAATTCTTCAGAGCTCCCCCAGGTGTGTAACACTAGAGATTCAGAGCCACGGCACCACTGGATGACGCCGGAACATTCCTAGTGTGATGTGACTGTTGATACAGATACGTAAAACATTGTACTAATTGAGATAGAGGGGAAAGGGGACATCTCTGTCTAGTCCCTCTTTGAAGTCTGAAGGATGGAGAGAGGGAGTTGTTGACTCACATTTTGTCAGATAGATGGATATAAAATAATTTTACACAGTTACAAAAGTGTAAAAAAAATCAAATAATAAAAATAAAAGTCGCATATAAATACATTTTTATGTCCCCCACGTTTACGCACATATAAACGTAAATACGCGTCAGATGCGCCAGCGTGCGAAAATGACAATTGCGCTACACATCTTACATATCGCCGCGAACGTCGCAGTGAGAGCAATAATTCTCGGACCATCAATCACTGATAACACTAAACTAATGAGCGGTAAAAGCTTTTAAAGCGTCGCCTATGGCCAATTTTGGGTATTGTAGTTCTTTATGGTTTCGCGAGTGCTCGCAATTTTAAGGCTTGACATGCTTGGTGTCTTTTTACCCGACGTGACCCCGACTCTTATATTTTACCAAAAATTGGATAATAATAAATGTTTTATAATTTAATATAGGGGAAACAGTTTTTTTTAATTTTCCGTAGTTTTTCCTTACTTTAGTAAAAAATAAAACCCCCAGTGGTGATTAAATACCACCAAAAAAAAGCTCTATCTGTCCCCAAAAGATGGTGTAAAATTCATTTCAGTACAGCGCTGCATGACGGAATAAATGTCAAAGTACCGCAGCGCTGAATACTGAAAAATGGCCTGGACAGGAATGGGGTGTAACACCCCGGACTTCAGGTGGTTAAAGATGGGGCTGTGGTCCAGCATTAGCCAATCACAGATAAACACTGATGCATACAAAATCGAAACTAAGCTGGCTGTCACAGTACACTTTCATTTTCCGGAATTCACATGATTTCCAGTAACTTGAAACTTTCAAGGTTGTTACAGCTTAAGCAAGTAACTTTAAAGCAGACGGGGGGGGGGTAGCCAGATTTTAAGTCACTTTTTTTTGTTGTCAGCAAAACATATATGTGGCGTGTTGGGTAGGTTTCTTGGAATGCCATTTAAAAATAAAAAACGGCCCTGCAGTGCACCACACATGTTATATGTTAACATGTGGGAAATGCAAATGTTGCTGTAATGCATCAGTCTGAAAGAGCCAAAATCGTTGGGGAACCACACATTGGAGAGATGTTAGTTTTCATTTTTTTAGTATATAGATTGTTCAGAGATTGTTATTAAAAAGACCATGAAATACAATCTATAAGGTGGAAGGAAAAAAAATGATAACAAATGTGTCTACAATTTGTATTGCAGAACCAAGTCTGGTACCAAACATCAGGTCATTGAAACGTCCAGCTTCCAGCATTTCCCAACCGCGGTGCAGATGGCGCAGGTAAGGTTGATGGATGATGCAATAAGGTCTGTTTGTGAAACATTGGATAGGAAATGCACCCTGAAAATACTGAGATTCAACACCATTTGTCTGGCATTCCACAGTAACATTCACCCTATTCACAAGAGCATGACTGTGCATCAGGCCAATTCAGTAGCCGGTGAACAGATGTTGAATCTTACATGTAGAAGTAAAAAAATAGTTTTGACCCTGATTGCCATTCTAATGTTGGGGGAAGTTAGCACAAATGGTGAGCACTTAAAGTGACATTAAACCCTCAGATTTTTTAACATAAAACAATACTGTAATGTGCGCCTTACTGTAATCCATGGTTGTTCCCCTTCTCTTTGCTGCTCTTCCTTTTAAATCTGTATCTCTTCTCATGCTTGGGGAGAACTTCTGTTTTGCAGCAGACTGACTTGTCTCTGAAATGGATACATGGTGTATGTGTGAAGGTTCACAACCTGAGCCAGCACTACAGGAAGAGGCACTCAGCTGCAAAGGGAAGTTCTCCCCCAGCATGAGAAGAGATACGGATTTAAAAGGAAGAGCAGCAAAGAGAAGGGAAACAACCATGGATTACACTAAGGCGCACATTACAGAATTGGTTTATGTTAAAAAATCTGAGGGTTTAATGTCACTATAAGGACCAGTCTCAGAGCCGTTTTAACAGGAAAAAGAACAGTCTTTTATTTCCTCCTAGGCAGGCAACCAAGGAAGTTCAACATAAAATAGCTTTCTTCAGCACTACAACATACAGTGTGCTTGGAAAACAGATCGGCTCACCATTCTCAGGTTGTCCTGTTCAGTGGCTCTCTCAGCCTCCCCAAACCGTCCAGCCTCCCAGGTTGTTCATGTGCCTCCAGCACACACCAAACTTGGCTTGGCCTGTGTGTGCCTCCAGCACACACAGCCACCTGGCTCCCCTCTGACGTCTGGGTGGAGTCCTCCTGACTCCTGAACACCTATGTTCCTCTTCCCAGCTGGAACCCAGAACCTTAGCCCGCACCCTTCCCATAAGTGCTGTACACAGGTGTTCAATTAGGTGCTGGCCACTAAAGCATGGGCCCAGGAATGGAGATTTCATCCCACCCAGAGCTCTAAGAAATCTCCTGGCTCCAGGATCCCATCTATGATCCAGAAAACCTGGAAAGGACTGACAAGCCAGCTCTTTCCTGGTACAAGCAATTGCTTCCTGGAGCCACTCAGCCCCTCTGGCTGAGAATCCTGGGTGACGTTTAGGCCACATAACACCGTGGTATTGCCACGCAATGCCACACCATCAAAAGCTCTTTGTGGTGCTGTACACAAGTTCAGTACTTGGAGGGTTAACTCACTTTTTTAAACATTGTATAACAAATTAAAAAAAACAATTTGTCTCCTCCTCCCTGAACTAACCAGCCTGACAACAGCACATTGGTATCCCCATAGCCAAAGGCAGTTAGTGCACATCCAATCTATTATGTTGACACTAGCCTAAATGACCTTCCACATCAGGGGATGCTTTAGGAGGGCCTCCTAAAACAAAACATGGCACCAGTGCCAGATGTTGATGGGCGCTGGGCTTTTCATGACCAGGAAGGGTTGCCACTAATAAGGGCTTTTATACCCCCTACCTCCGCCAAATGGGGGGCAAGTAGTTGATCATCCCCTCCCTAGTGAACTGATATTAGGGTCCCTCAGACCCCCCCAACGTACTTACTGAGCATTTAGGTAAGAAGTGGAATATAAATAAAAACACCCACGCTTGTTTCAAAATCCTTCAATAAATATATTTTTTACTAATAGTTAACTACAAGGTTCCAGCGATTTTTGAAGACTATGATTGAAGGCAATGTTTGAGTTGTCCCACGCCGTATACTCCAGTGGTGGCAGCTCAGAGGCGGGGGGAGCACAAGCCCTGCTTTCTTTATTGCTCAAACTCCATTTGAGCCCTGAGGAAGTTCCCACCACTGACGCAATTCTAAGTGTCCAGGGAACTCTAGTGGAAGGAGTTCCGGTGACATCACTGCCCATATTTGGTATTGGTCCGATGGTTTGAGAACCTGTCTCCCATTTTTCAGCAGGAGCCACTCTCACACTCTCATAGCACCCAATGTTGAAGGGCACACAGGTTGGTATAGAAGGGGGTTGCACACTTGCTGCATGCCTGGCATGCTGAGCTGGTTAGTTCATGGGTAATGAGACACTTTTTTTTTTTCTTATTTTGTTTGTATTAAATAAAAAATACCGTTTTTGTTTTTTTTTACTGACTAACCTGCATTGAAAACCCAGGTCCAGCACTGTTCATAGACAATCATTGCATTTTCAGTAGAAGAAGCAATTTATTCACTAGCTAAAACCAGGCAAATTTTGGTTTAAGATATCTAGAGACTCCCATCCTAAGGTGCTAGGTGTGAGCCTGGACTCCAAACTCACCTTTCTGCCACACATCCAATCACTATTGAAATCCTGCCACCTTCACCTTCATAAAATCTCAAAAATACGCCCCTTCCTCACCAATGAAACCGCAAAGCTACTCATCCACTCACTTGTTATCTCCTGGCTCAACTATCGCAGCTCCCTACTCATTGGCTTATCTAGGCACAGGCTATTCCCACTTCAGTCTATCATGAATGCTGCTGCTAGACTCATCCACCTAACCAACCGCTCAGTGTCTGCAACCCCCCTCTGCCAATCCCTCCACTGATTTTCATGCTCTACCCCTCCCTGCCAATTCCTCCATTGGCTTCCATCCCCTCTGTCAATCCCTCCATTTCTGTACAGTTGCCCAAAGGATGAAATTGAAAATATTAACAACCACTTACAAAGCCATCCACAACTCTGCCCCCGGATATGTTTCCAAACTCGTCTCAAAAGTATCACCCTAACTGGCCTCTCTGCTCTTCCCAAGGCCTCCTTCCCAACTCCTCCCATGCTCACCTCCAGAACCTCTCTATAATTTCTCCCTACCCAAACCTGTCTGGCTATCCCCTACTCTGCCTGCATTTAGGCAATCTCTGAAGATTCATCTCTACACCCCCCCACCCTCAACCGGACCACTGAACTATCACTTTCTCAAACAATTCATCCCCACACAGCTACCTCCTCCTTTATCACTTGCCCCTCCCTTTTAGATTGTAAGCCCTCATGGGCAGGGACCTCCTTACCATCTTGTCTTGAATTGTATTGTAACTGTAATGTCTATAAGTAAAGAGCTGCACAATCTGTTGGTGCCATATATAATTATTTATAAGAATGGTATTATGACATCAAACAGACTGTTATCAGATATGAACTTTGTAAGATGGGAAGCTTGATGAAGCTTCATATTGATGATTATGTGAAAAAACGTGCAAAATATTATAATCATGTATGGTATATGGTACCAGGAGGAAAGAAGTTTGTAATCCGTGTTTTATGATGTGTTTCTTATAATGAAAGTGATTTGTTATATGATATAATCATGGGAATTGCATTAATTCTTATGATGATATCTCCTCGTTGTGCTTAAGGGCAGAATTTAGGATTTTCTAATGTTATAGTAAATACCTTTTCCTAACAGATCACAGATGTTACCAAATGTCAGAAGATATAATTTGTTGGGTGAATCTTGGGTGACTTGCCACTAAATTGAGCTGATGGCTAAAGTCCACCAAAGAAATTTGAGTAAATGTTAAAGGAAATGCCCAATGGATTTTTTGTAGAGCTATTCTGAGTAAAATATAATTAAATAAAGTTTTTCCCCTAATTTGTTGATGTTTTCTCTCCCGGTCCTGTGGACTCTGTAGGAACGTCCTATGTGTGAATATCTGCTCAAGTTAAATTTCTCTTTATCAGGTCCTATGTGAAGAATTGTCTGTGGAGAGGTTCTTCCCAGTTCTCTACATGAAGGTGAGATCCCAAAATTGCACTTTCTGATTGGTCAGCACTTTCCAAACCATAATTGGGGGAATTTATAAAAACTGGAGCAGACAAAATCTGCAGCAGCTGTGCATGGCAACCAATCAGAGAGAAGCTGATTGGTTGCTGTGCACATCTGCTCCAGATTTTGTCTGCTCCAGTTTTGATCAATTGCCCTCAATGTGTTATGTGACAGGAAAAATTTCCAGCCAATATGAAAACCTTTTTTGGTCTGTGCATGTGTTTATGGAAGATTTCCCCCATGAATCTGTAAAATGTGCTCTAAATCTTTATATTGAACTCCCATTGCCCTGCTCATTAGCAGAAGAAATGTGAATAGAACAGAAGTCCCTGCCCTGGGTGCTGATATAAAAGTGGAGGTATAGAGCAAGACTAAGCAACCCAACTCTTCTCTAAAGTCGCTCCTATCCTCAGCTCTCTTAATAGGGAGGTCCTCTTTACTAGGAAAAATTGTAATACTGCAATGGCTCACAGTAGCCCAAAACGGCCACCAAGTACAATTCATTAGTCTGGGTCGAGTAATAAAAGCTCAATTCCAATTGCGGTACGTTCTAGTTTGTTCTACGCATTTTGCATTTGATAGGTCTACCAACCTTGTCGGTTTTGAAATTTTTTGGGTTATCTCAGAAGTCTCTGATTTCCTCTAACAACAATTCTTTCTTCAGGCTTCTCAGCTCTTGGTGACTTTTGATGAACACGTCATGACCAATAACTTCAAATTTGGGGTCATCTATCAGAAACCAGGACAGGTAAGGGAAAAAAACAGATAGATGGAATTATCCAAAAAAGTAAAATACTCACCGCTTCAATTACACCAGACTGCAGATCAATACAAACATCGGGTGCAGGCTGCAGTGTGCTCCCACTCATCAAACAATATATCTCCAATCAGCCGCATGAAACCGAGGTCCATACAAATCCAACTTTATTGTTGGTAATTCCATGCAAATTTCAAAATACAAGGTACACACCACCATAGTATCTCTCCCACTCCAACGTGACTGATTGGAGAGGTGTATGGAATGGTTATTAATAAAGTTGAAGTTTCACCTGGTCATGTTTTGCCTTCCCTGGTTTCTCCTTTTATTTCTCATCAGCATGATGAGAGATACTTCCATTTTCATTACTTACCTTATTTTACACATAGTGATGTCAGTTTGCAGGAGTAGACATTCCTAGGCAGGTTGTACCCTGTTTCCCTGAAAATAAGACCTAGTTCTATTTTTGGGAATTACTAAAATATAAGACCTACCCCGAAAATAAGACCTAGTCGTGACCATTCCCAGGGCCGGTGGTGGCATAAGGGGGAACTTGAAGAGCCGCGGGAGAGGCAGGAGAGAATCAGCGGTGCCAACGAAGCCAGCGCTAGAGGAAGCGAGGCGGCACTGGAGGGAGCAGAGCCGAGTAAACCGATGCCTCCTCTATAGCGCCGGCTCCTGTTACATGCGTAGTGATACCAAATGCACTCCGCCTGTGAGGAATCCATAGTGAAATCGCGCTTCGCTCATTCTGGCCAGCGATTGGTTAGCAAATTGCTCTTGGAAAGGTACGGCGCCCCTGATTGCCCTGATCACCACATTTTTGTACATGAATACATGTAGACTTTTCTACATGAATAAGTGTGGATTGTTGTACATTAAAAGAAAAAAAAAAGACCTACCCTGAAAATAAGACCTAGCGTGTTATTTTGAGCCAAAAAATATATAAGACAGTGTCTTATTTTCGGGGAAACACGGTATTTGCATACAGACCACCCTAGGTAACAGCTCCACATGATGCTGAGCTACCATGATTGAAAGAACTGAAATCCAATGATTGAAAGGGGTGGACCAGGGACAGTCAGGATAGGGAGGAAAGAACTAGATGGACGTCCTCCAGCCAGGAAATGAGGCGGGCTCTTTTTGACTTGCTGCAGCTTCTAATGCACATGGTGAGAAGCTCACAGTGCGCAGTGAAATCAGAGGAAGCCATTTCAGTGCAGGAGAGAAGCCGGTACAACTGTGCAAGACTGAAGAGAAGGCCGGAGTTCAGATTCAAACATGTAACTATGGAATGGGAGGTCTTTTGTGTGTGATATTTATGCAGTTTGATCAGTAGAGGTGCATTGAATGACTGATTGTGTGTGACCACCATTAGATCACTCCCACTCTTGTTGCAGGTCACGGAGTCGGAGCTCTTCAATAACACAGAGGAGAGTTTGGGCTTCTCAGAATTTATCAACTTCCTGGGAGAAAAGATCCAACTACAACATTTTAAAGGGTGAGAATAAATAACGCCAAAGGTTTGGTTTCGACATCGGCGCACTTCCTCCTCTTCTGTCATGCATCTCCATTTGCCAAAAGTAAACTTACCAATAACTGACACCACCCTAAGCATTCACATCGATGAGCAGTCTAGTCAGATGCTGCATTTTCCCTTTGAATGGCCACAGATGGGTTCATTTGACATCATTTTACAAGAAAAGGTGCCCTTTGACCTGCTTTGCCCACAATTTAAATGCACCTTAGCAGGACGTGCCCAGTCTACAACACAAAGCAGGTCAAACACAGCCTCTGACATGCCATGTGTACTGCTCAGGGAAAGGCAATGGGATTTTCCTGCCCTGCATTTTACATGCTTTCCGAAGCACAGCACAGGAAAATAAGGCCCATTGAAATGAGCCCTGAATATGGCATATTTGAAGGAACTTTCTTGAAACTGCCATCATTGTATTATTCTTGCGCACATTTTACTATTTGTTTCCCCTCCATTTTTTTCCAAACTATCCCACCTGCAGCTGCGCAAAGTCATAGAGATGGAATGCTGCGATAGCTTTGACCGTAAATGACCACATGCTGACATTTGGTCAATGACATTGACCTAATATGGCTATGTGGTCATAAAGGGTCAATGGTGTCACCACAAGCATCCGGCCCTCTTGTTTTTGTGCAGCTGTGGGGCAGGGAATTCCCCAGCCTAGAGCTGAATGATTAGGTTGACTCATGCCCTTTCTGGGTTTGGAGGGGAAGACTGTAGGTAAAACCTGAATAGTGATGAGCTCAGGTTTGGTCCAAGTTCAGTCCAAATCTGAGTTCTTCACTATTCAGGAGTTACCTTGAGAAGACAGTCTTCCCCTGGACTTTCTGCATGGGGGGGATGTAGTTGTATATCAGATGCTCCTAGGCCTTATGACTGAGGAGGGTGACCATGTGCTTGGACTGAGGTCTGGGTTTGAGGCCTAGTATGTTGAGCCAGGGAATTGAAATACCATGGAGGAATTTTAACCTGAATAAGGTACCTGAGAAGCTGGATAGAAGCTTGGTCCTTGACTGAAGTATGGTCATTTCTCTCGAACATGTCAGTAGCTGGACCATCCAGTAACTTACAGCCGGGAGCTCTATTCACAGAATGTTGAGTTGGCTTAAAGGTTCTCCATCAGTTGAAGCTGTGGGTAATTTTCATCTTTCTTTTCTGGAGCCTGAAAGCCCATGAGTGTCATGTGCCCCAGACCCTCTCTCCCTCCAGGGGTGTTGAGTAAGAGTAAGGAAACTCCTTAGAATCTAAAGTGATGCCTATCTGTTCACATTGCTCCATTATTGCCAAGGACCAGACCTGGAGATGAAATGGTAGGCTGGCCGGCCTCTGGAATCTCTCATTTGCCCTTTAGTATCAAGGGGCTGCTACATCTGGAGGTTTTCAACTTCTCATGTCAAAGTTTATTAAACTGAAGAAATGGGGAAAACTCAGGGGAACAACGCACAAAGTGTTTCAAAATGAAAAGCACTTGTCACGCCATTAGTTATAAATACTGTATGTCCCCCTAAGCTTCTCCATCCTTTTCTTGCAGAATTTCCTGTAAAACATTTAACTTTTCCATAATGTACATAATGTAGAAACACAAGCGTATGTGAACCTAAAATCTGCATTCACTGGCCACTTTATTAGGTACACCTTGCTAGTAACTAGTTTGCACCCCCTTTTGTTAGAACTGCATTCATTCTTCATGACATAGATTCAGCTAGGTGATTTAACCTTTCCTTAGAGAGTTTGGTCCATTTTGACATTATAGCATCAGAATCTCCTGCTCCACCACATCCCAAAGGTGCTCTACTGGATGGAGATCTGGTGACTGTGAAGGCCATTTGAGTACAGTGAACGCGTCATCATGTGCAAGAAACCAGTTTGAGATGATTTCAGCTTTGTGACATGGCGTGTTATTCTGCTGGAAGTAGCCACCAGAAGATGGATATACTGTGGACATAAATGGATAGAGATGGTCAGAAACAATAGGTAGACTGCGGCATTTACATAGCTACATAGTATTTGAGGTGATTTAAACTATGCCCAATTGTTACTAAGGGGTCCAAAGTGTGCCAAGAAAATATCCCCCACACCATTACACCACCAGCCTGAACGGTTGATACAAGGCAAGATGGATCCATGTTTTCATGTTGTTTATGCCAAATTCTGACCTGACCATTCGAATATTGCAGCAGAAATCCAGACTCATCAGTCCAGGCATTGTTTTTCCAATCTTCTATTGTCCAATTTTGGTGAGCCTGTGCAAATTGTATCCTCCGTTTCCTGTTCTTAGCTGACAGGAGTGGCACCCAGGGTGGTCTTCTGCTGCTGTAGCCCATCTGATTCAAGGTACAATGTGTTGTTTAGAGATGCTCTTCTGCATACCTCGGTTTCTATCAGCTTGAACCAGTCTGGCCATTCTCCTATGACTTCTGACATCAACAAGACATTTTCCTCCACACAACTGCCGCTCACTGGATATTTTCTCTTTTTCTGACCATTCTCTGTAAACCCGAGAGATGGTTGTGTGTGAAAATCCCAGAAGATCTGCAGTATCTGAAATACTCTGACCAGCCCATCTGGCAATAACAACCATGCCACATTCAAAGTCACTTAAATCCCCTTTCTTCCCCATTCTGATGCTCGGTTTGAACTTTAGTAGATCGTCTTGACCACGTCTACATGCCTAAATTATTGCGTTTCTGCCGTGTGATCGGCTGATTAGATATTAACGAAGTTGAACAGGTGTACCTAATAAAGTGGCCAGTGAGTGAATAAATACCCTGTCTCACTGTATACACTTTCCTAAAATAAAAAATGACATGATGGTTACATCTTTATATGATGCAATCTGTCCGTAGTATGAACACAACAGTCTGTTTTTCGGAATCTCCCTCAAACATAGTTGTAATACCTGTTGATCGGGTCAGTAAGTCTGTTATTTTTCAGCTTCCGTTAAAGGAGAACTGCACATAAAATATAAAAATTTGAGATCAGCCAGGATTTGTATCGGACAATGAAACAATAGGAGAGTTGTCCCCTGATGCAGCGTTACACGAGGGTGAGGATGTATGGGTGTGGCTGTTACTGCTAGGTGTGTGTTGCTGGAGCCCTGAAACGAAAGGGAACCGCTGGTTGCGGGAGACACAGATGGGTGACCATTTTTCCCTATGCACCTCAGCTCCATGTAGTGGCCATAAACTGGTGTTTTCTTAATATTACATTTGACTTAAAAAAAAAATATACTAAAAACATTCATTTTTTCCCCCCATTCACGCAGAACCAACGTTCAGAGTTTTGCAGGATGAATGAATCTGTAAAATGTTTATAAATATACTCCATGTCCTATAATGGATCCTAACCTACATGTTTGTGATCTTCCTGGCAAAGTACACTTTATCCCCCCTTTATCCCCTTTATCCCCCCTTCCCTCCCAAAATAAATACATTACATTAAAGCACATGCCTAGGTGCTCCTCCTGCTTGCTCCATTTGGGGTATCATTAACAAATAATGGCACCACTAAAGTGACACTTGCTTTTTGTGTGTTTTGTCAAACCCGAGATCCACATTTTACCTGTTGCCCAAACCTCGTTGTGACAATTCCACATTCAGACTCGCACTGCACAGATAATTGGCAGCTTGTGGGACAGCAATCCAAGTGTCAGCAGTAATCATAAAGCAAAACAAACGACAAACACACTCAACAATTTGTCACCAGTTATACAGTAAGGTGAATGGGAAGGCTGTGAGTGCAGCTCTACCATCTCAGTGTTCACACGGAGCAGAGCGGAGAACTTCCCATCCTGAAGAGAGGATCTCCATCGCCGGAGAGAGGCGGCCGGCAGGGAGAGAGGTAGCCGGCAGGGGGGGGGCAGACCTGCAGGCTGCATACAAGTGATCTCTTGCACAAAACAAGCGGTGGCTGTACATTTAGCCCGGTTTGCCCAAAGCAGGGCTAAATGTAGAAACAAACTACGTGCCCGGAACTCCATGTCCGGGGCATCGGGAGATAGGAATTCCACACCTCTGCTGCCTCTTTGCTCCTTGCTGTTCCGAGGTCGGGCCTTAGTGGCCTTGTGAGAAATCCAGCCCTGTTCGCTGCTATGTCCAGATAGGAATGTAACAGAGTTTACACCATGGTAGCTTTTTCAAAGGGTTAAGTTCTAGTTAGAGCACTCAGATTTTTTTAAAATAATATTTTAATACAAAGACAAGAAAAGTGGTGCCAGAATTTTTTACATAAAAGATATTACAAGAGCTGACAAAATGCCCAAAAAAGGGGCTTAGAAAATACTTTACGTGTAGTCTGCGTGGCCTTTGGTTCCATGCAGTGTTCAGATAACTTGCAGTGTAAGTCCAATCTGATATGGCGGTCATTGTCCCTTAGAAATGAGATTCTCAGTATCCTCAGCAGTTTTTTCTTGTCTGTAGAGAGGGTGTCACAGATCTAATTCCACCTAATCAAAAATTCTGAGGTGTGGATTGTAGGAGTGCTGGGGAACATTTTATTATGCTTAACTGACACACCCCTAAAGCCAACTATCCGGGGTACAGTTATATTTCCACATGACAAGGTTTCACAATCTGGCAGCCAATATATTAAGCAGAATGAAAGTAGGTTTGTTAGACACCAAATATCGTATAGAGCAGGGGTAGCCAAACTCCGGCCCTCCAGCTGTGGTGGAATTCCAAATCCCATGAGGCATTGCAAGATTCTCACAGCCACAGACATGACTCCAGGAGACAGATGCATCATGGGATTTGTAGTTTCAACACAGCTGGAGGGCCGGACTTTGGCTACCCCTGATATAGAGCGTATGAATCTCTCTCTCCTAGGAGCTCTAATATGTCCTAATATTACACATGTGCCATTCATTCCGTTCGTGCGAATTTTCTGAATTTCCGCATCACGATGCATTCTAATGTGTCCGATTCCGAATTTCCGTTCAAAGATTTCGGATCCCGTCCGAATTTCATTCAAAAACTAAACTGAATCGGACATGTGACTTTTCTGGCCAGCCAGAGGTGTTTTTCGGTTTAATGCATGCGAATGGGTCTGAACACGAATTTTCGTTACGGCAACATGGGAGCCATATACAGTATATACATATAATACTAAAGCTGAGGCTCCCAGACCCAAATGGCATTCGGGATCCAAATTTCTGAATTGCAATTGGGAGCTCGCAAATGCCATTCGGGTCTGAAAGCCTCAGCTTTATTATTATATGTAAATGGCTCCCAGACCCGAATGGCAATCGGGAGCTCCTGAATGCAATTCGGAAATTCGGATTCCAAATGCCATTGGGGTCTGGGAGATTCAGCTTTAGTATTAATATTTGTATATGAACAAATCTCAAATCCCAAGATATCCAAACTGAACCAAATTTTTCCGCAGCTTGCATGTCTACTTAATATGTGCTGATGTGCTGATTTCCTGCAAAAAATAAATAAATCAAGACAGGTAACTTGGGACCCCTTTAAAAATGGCTGCTTCAGATGGGGCAACCAGGAAGAACCCAATGAAATAATAAGTATCTAAAGTCATCATCATCAACCACAAATGTGTATATAATCTTTGTGTGGTCTTACCTTGTAATACTCCATCTGGCGTAGGTTTCGCGGGGGTCTGGACGTGTCTCAAGGTCAGACAGGAACAGAGTCTGTGTACACCATGTTCCGTGGTCATGAGATCATGTTCCACGTGTCAACAAAACTTCCCTACACCCCGGGGGACACTCAGCAGGTCAGTGTATTTTATAGCAACATTGTTCCAGTTACCTAGTTGTGTTGTGTGTGTCCCTCATTAGTACAACATCAAGATGGTTCTTAAATGTCATGCCCATGCTCGTTGACCGGGTGCTTGTGCAGTTTGTCCTGCTGACAGATAAGTACCAAAAATATTAAGGATTCACTGCACAACTGGACTGTTGAAAACTTTCTTAATGTAATGTTTACCCTGGCACCAGGGGTCAGAAACTATACCTAGTGGGTGTATCTTCTGCCTATAGCAGCCCCTGTTCCCATAAGGTAAGATGGCCTACCTGGGGTTTAGTTGCCCCAAGCTGTAGTTTCTGGCTTGGTGGCACGAGTGACTGAGCAAACAGAAAAGAGCACCTGTGGCCTTTTGGAGTATCATTCATGAGCCAAAGCACTGCTGGTGACTCTCCATAGGCAGCAGATGATTAGCATACACCAGACAATCTGAGGCCAAGACAGGCGGCAGACCAAGTATAGTCTAGCAACAGTTTTAAGTTAAGGCAGGCAGCTGACAAACTTAATCCAGAGCCAATCCAAGATCAGGGCAGGCAGCAGATCAGCATAATCTAGAAAAAAAATCTCCTGCAGGCAGCAGAAAAGCATAATCTAGGACCATCCAAGGTTGAGGTAGGGTCAGCAACACAAAATCCATAGTTAAAGGAGCTGGGATTTAAGAAGCTATCACACTGGGCTTTAGAGTGCCACAGCCAATCAAGGTGTAGAAGAGAGCCAAGGTGTGTGTGGCCCTAAACCAATCAATACAAAGAAGGCTAGTCAGACGGAGCTGACCCACTGTGTAGCAACAAGCACACCTTCTAAACAGTGCTGTGGCCAGCCAGTGGAAGTGAGAGGTGGAGGGCATTGATGTCAGAAGCAGCAACCACGGATGCTCCAGCTGGGCAGAAGAAGGCAGCTAGGTGGTGGGCTGGGCAGGAGTCACTAATAAGCCAACGGCCTTGGGGCTCAGGCTGATTTCTCAAAAAGCAAGAAGGTCAATTTTTGGCCACCAGGACACAGATCTATTAGTAAATGAATCTTTTTGCCATAATAATCCAGCAAGTACCTCGTGCAAATTTTTTAAAATACTTTTTATTTTTAAATATTTTTCAAAAACAAAACAAAAAAATCACACAATTTTGTTTTGTTAGGTCCACATTATTTTAGTATGAGTCATGGAGCGGAATGGTAGCGCTCGGTTATCTTGCAGTTATGTTGTTACCTGTCACATTGCGGTAACTGGAAGAAGTAGGGAAAAAGAAGAGTGCAAGGGATCACGTGGGTCAGCTCTCTGCTAAGTGGATACAGGTGATTGCAATAATGAATTATCCGATGAGGAGGTTCCAGACACAGGAAGCTGAATTGCTGAACCTGGATGCTGAATATGTTTCCATTTTGGATAGAGTAGGGAATGGTTAAATCCCCAGTGACAGTCAGTTTTTTGGGGGATCTGTGCCAATTAGGGAGATTTTCTTTCACTTCCTGTACTGCAGACATAGCAGGAATTGAGAGGAAATATTTCCAAAGTGAGGGACGTACCCTCTTGCCCAGAGTTTTTTGTGTTAGTTTCGTATGTGTCAATGCCTGATTTTGCACATTGTTTGTCTTTGGAAAACCCCAGAATTTTGGGGAGGGGATTAAGGCCAGTCATGATGAGAATGGGATGAATGTAGTCTGCGTTTCTCAACTAGAAATTTCCTTCCAGCTTCAGAGAAAACGTCACATCGGGAATGATATCGTCTCATTGGTGTACCAGGACGATGGCTCAATATTCTCACCCGATATGATAACGTCCCATTTCCTCCATTGCTTCGTTGTCATCCAGTCCTGCAGAAGCCACAGCGGCGATACTCTGTACAAGGTGAGACTCTTTTCTGTGACCTTAGGAGGATGCGACCATCTACAGAGCCTAAGGCAGCAGAGTTAGATACGGCTACAAACTATGAAACCTTTTCCCACAAATGTCCTCTCAGGACAATTAGTAGGAGAGATGTAGGGGGGAGGGATACAGGGAATGTTGAGGAGTCAAAAGTCTTTAATGACTAAAGGAATAAAAATAAAGAAAAAACCTGCAAAATACAGAATTGAAACCTTTCATAATAGGCCCCATTCTTTTAATTGTCTTTTGGTCACATGATAACTAAAGCAGAGGATCAGCCAATCTGAACTCTGATCCTCCACATCAGCAAAGATCATGTGACCAAATACAGGAAAGTTTTTCAGCACGTGTATTACTTTTTATTGCTCCAAGCCAGCAAGCAACACAGGTGTATGTTAACATTTGAGTACAGGTACATTATTCATTTTGGTTACATTCTATTTTATATTTTTTAAAGTTTTATATATATATATATACACAGTATATTTATTGAGGGCATAGAGGGGCCATAGAGAACAACATTACACAACCGTAAATAAGGCATTACAAGGAATTGTTAATGCTTACAAGGGTGCCCAGCAAGGACTAAAATCCCAAAAGTCACACTTATTACAAGATCCAGTACAACAGCTATTTACTATAAATAAGTCTCTCCGTCTCTGATTAAAACGTCTGGGGAGAAATATCTGTACAAAATGAATCAAGGCAACTGGACTTGCTGTATTTTTCTTGAAGACGTTTCGCTGGTCATCCAATGTGCTGTTACACAGTTGTAAGATATTACAATTCATAGTCATAGTTAATATTCATATTAATGTGAAATGAGAATCACATAGTTAATTTCCTTGAGCCATTTGCTCATTGGTATTGTTTAGCTGAATAGTATACTGACATCCCATGGTCATTTTGGTTATTGCACTGTTTTCCTGTGTTCCCTCCCATCTATGATGCATTTCCCCCGTCTTGTTCAAGAACTAGTCAAGTGTCATGGCTGCTTATAACAAGACCACATGTAGGCTTGGAAACATTATCATGCGAAAATATGGACCTTTTTTTAAGGCTAAACTCCAGGTTTTTTATACAAAACCCGTGCAGAGGGGACCCCACACTACAAGGGTTAACTGCTTGTTAAGTGTAGGTGGTAGAGGAATAAGCTGTAATACTTACCTTATTCCTTGCTCTGGCATGCTCCCTCCACGCTGTTTGATGGGTCTTCCAAAGCCACCTCTCCAGCAGGCTTCCAGCACTCTCCTCTTTGGCACTCCAGTTTGTGGGCGGGTCCTCACTATCGTCATGTACAATCCAGGACTACTGTTCAAGCATTGTAAAAGTTGGCGTCAGAGTGCGACCGCCAGCCCAAAAGAAGCAGCTTTTGAAAACCCAGCTGTGTTTCAAAAGGTAAACAAGATCCTTATGGCCACTAGATGCTCTTCATCTCCATCTAGTGGCCATAATGTGGTATTACATGACTTTACATTTTAACCCCCCCCCCCCCCCCAAATATTTGTTTTTTCCCTCCATTTGCACAGAATTAATGTTCAAAGATTTGCAGAGTAAATGGCCCTATGAATTGTTCATAAATAGACCATATAGTATCCACTTTATATTTTTATAGTTGAATCAACTTTTATTAAACAAAAACAAAGATACAGCAAAAGCAATATGGTAACGTGACCCGTACATAACAAGTTCAAAGAGGCTTATAAGACAGAAGGCATGACAGGTATACAAAGTTCCACAAGACATAAGAAACAAGTATAAACTTCACAGGAAACAATAACAAAATCACATGACACAAGTGCAGTGCGTAGATAGCTGGAGAGGCCACTTAGGTAAATATACCAAATACAGAGCTTAAGATGGGATAATGACTGCTGTATAAACAAAGGCAGCACTATAAAGGGTGAGAAGAAAAGAAAGATCAGAACAACAACAACAAAAAAAAGAGAGGAAAGAAGGAAAAGAGAAGAAAGAAAAAGGAGGAGGTAGAGATGCCGGTAATCCCTGCAGAATAACGGGGACACTTGCGGAGAATCATTGGGGTGTGTCGGGAGCAGGTGGAGACCATATTGTGGGAGTCCCTTTGGGCACCATGACATCTAACCTTTGGGATAGCAAAGCAAGGGCGGAGGAGGAATATTGCAACCACAGCGCCCAAATGAAATAAAAGCAATCATAGGGTCCTGTATCCAAGACCATGAGTTCTTCCATATGCATAATGTCATTTACATTATTGATCCAATGCGATAAAGGAGGGGTCTTCGTGGTCTTCTAATAAAGCGGAATAAGAAAGTAAAAATCTGAGCAAATGTTGTCGGTGATGCGATCTACCACCCGGGAAGCATGAACAATACGGCGGACTCAGGGGAGGAAGCCAAATTTTCATGATATGATTATATATCTTATAGATCTCAGACCAAAAGGATTGTATTAATGGGCACTCCCACCAAATATGTAGATGAGTACCTGTAGCTTTTCCACATCTCCAACAAAACAGTAGATAATGAACCCTTCATGTCAGGCATAGGGCAGTTTCCTTCAAGAGCAGCTGAATGTCATATAGCAATGCATATGCTGTTGAGAAGGGGTGTTGGAAATACACCTGCATACACTGTTTTGTATTACTGACATTCAGAGATGTAGTATTGTCTTTTGAGCTGTAGGTGGCTCTGTGGTGCAGTGTTGGTCTCTATGCTTATGTATACTTGTCTATACACAGGAAGTTCTTTCTATATGCTTTATAATGCTGTATTCTGATCTAAAGTTCTTCTAAGCAAGTAAAATGTCATTCAGCATTCCTCAAGATATCAGTGCTTCATCTAAACACATAATAAACAGCAGGTCCCTAGAAAGGATCAAGTAAATACGTCATCTCTGATGAAAAAAGAGGCAGAAAAGAAAGAACAATAGAGCAGGAATAATAGAAGAAGAAAGAAACAAAGAAGACGTATCACAAGTGAAAAACCAATGTAACATCAGAATTACAAAACTGAGCGCTCGTTGCCCTCTAGTGGGGAAGACTAGTACTGCAAACACGATTTAACACAATACTAGAAACACACTAATCTGGAAGTACTAGAAGAGTGCAAATCCGCAATGCAAGTCCTATGAGGGGGTCGCGGAAGTCCCGCCAGCAGGAGCTAAAATAATACCAATATGTATTAGCAACATAGGCGTAAGGAGGCCCTGCGAGCAATGGCTAAAGGTTGACTCTAACTACAACCAAGTAGTGAGGGATGGGTTGGAGTCAGCTTGGTTGCCTTTCCTACTTCAGCGCTGTTGCTATTCTGATTGAGTCGGAAGCCCTGGAGTGGATGGTTTCAGAGGCCAGTGTGGGAGAGCCACCTGCGACAGTCCACATTTGCCCAGTAGATTCCGTAATTCCCCCAACTCTCGGAAAGTAGCAGTTTCGTCCTCAGGAGAGACGATGAGTTGGAAAGGGCGGCCCCACCTGAAAGAGATGTTATGAGAGAGTAACAGCTCCAGGAGCGGTTTAGGTGCACGCTGCAAAGACAACGTATGTCTGGGGAGATCTGGGAGTATCTCGGAGTCATAGAAGAGGATGTTATCTTCAGTCCTCGCTGCCCGCATAATGTAACCCTTCACCCCGAAAAAGTGGATACACCATAGAACGTCTCTAGGGAGGGAGGGCAGGATCAGTGTAACAACATGCCAACAAACTAAATAGCCAGCAACCATCTTCAGCCCTTCCTAACCTGCCCATGCGACAAAACATACCCGCGGGCCGCGGCTAACTTATATACGGGAAGCCCCCCAGTCCTGCCATTATGTTTTACTACCACATGCCTCACTACCAGTGCTCTACCCCTCTCCAATACCCCTCATCATACAAATGATCCCAGATCTGGCCCTTCAACCTCTTTCCAGTTTTCCCAACATAAGACATGTCTCCTTCGCATACTGCAAGATACAATACCCCTTCTGTTTCACAATTGGCATACTGTTTACTGGTTACCGCCTGTCGCCTTGGCGTTGTCATCCATTGTGTGAATTGATCCAGAATCACCATTTTGACCATTGGATTCTTCAGCCTGTTAGGAGTGACTATGGCCGTTTCAGTACACATGATGGGAGTGACTATGGCAGTTTCAGTACACATGATGGGAGTGACTATGGCCGTTTCAGTACACATGATGGGAGTGACTATGGCCGTTTCAGTACACATGATGGGGGTGACTATGGCCGTTTCAGTACACATGATGGGAGTGACTATGGCTGTTTCAGTACACATGATGGGAGTGCCTGTGGTAGTTTCAGCCCCATAACCAATGGTTGGTCCTCTCATACGGAGCTGGGGCTGGAGGAAGAGTGTGCAGGAGCCTGAGCATTGCGCCCACCATCCGTGGATCATTGTTGCAATGTTTTGCAGGCTCCAAAGCAAATATCTAACAAATGCTCATTTTTCTACTTTTATCAATGTGCGTGTTTAATAATTGTACCTATGCCATTAATGTTATATTCATACATTTGATTGTATATTTTGATTGTTGCTCATGCATGCTACCTAGTGATATCTGAGTTCCCCTTTAATATCCGGTAGCGGTTATACTTGATTCCTATATATCATCTTCTGGCGGCTACAACATTTATAGTTCACCTTTTAATGTCTGAAGTGTTCAGGAGCTGATCTGCCGTTTCCTCTGATTATACATTTGCTTGCCCACCAGTCCAGGCATTAAAAGCGAGCAGCTTATAAAATATACAGGAGCCTTGTCTGTGCGGAGGAGTTATGTAGCAGAGCGTGCGGTCTGCCGTTCATTCTATTAACGTTTTAATGCAGCAAAGTGCCTTTTCTTTGTTTTTCCGCATGGCGGGCCAGCTATACAAAACACAGCCTGTGAAACCAACTCTCTCTCTATGTTTGTGTGTTATTGCCAACCGAACAAACTCTATCTGAAATGCAATACAATAATAAATACATTAAAATTGAAGTTTAGTCTGCTTATATTTTCCCTTTTCAGTGCTCCCCTATGCAATGCAGGTAGATCATGGCTGGTAAGAGGGGTCACATCGCATCAATGTTACTAGTAAAGTAGCAATATTGATACTTAGGGGCCGATTTATAACTCTGGAGCCACTAGATGGCACTGAGGAGCATGAGAATTTCCTGTGCAGCTCGGCGCCATCTAGTGGTGGTAGTCCTGTGCAAATGGCATCCAACAAGCTACAGTATATGCTGAGTGTAAGAGTTATGAATCAGCACCGTAATTAGTATTTTGCCTCCGTAGTACTATTATAATAATTTTACAATATGTATTTTGCCATTTAGTAGGGCCCTGCTGGCAAGACATTTTTATTTTTTATTTTATTTTTGGTGAGAATCTTTTTTAGTAGTTTTTTCTAGATTTTGTAAAGAGTGTATACTATAGGATTTGCAATAAAGTAAATATTTACATATGTGTGTTCATCTATACATGTATTAATATACACTATATTGCCAAAAGTATTGGGACGCCGGCCTTTACACGCACATGAACTTTAATGGCATCCCAGTCTTAGTCCGTAGGGTTCAGTATTGGGTTGGCTCCGCCCTTTGCCACTATAACAGATTCATCTCTTCTGGGAAGGCGTCCACAAGGTTTAGGAGTGTGTCTATGGGAATGTTGGACCATTTGTGAGGTCAGGTACTGATGTTGGGGGATGGGCTCGCAGTCTCCGCTCTAATTCATCCCAAAGGTGTTCTATCGGGTTGAGGTCAGGACTCTGTGCGGCCAGTCACGTTCCTCCACCCCAAACTCCCCCATCCATGTCTTTATGGACCTTGCTTTGTGCACTGGTGCGCAGTCATGTTGGAACAGGAAGGGGCCATCCCCAAACTGTTCCAACAAAGTTGGGAGCATGAAATTGTCCAAAATGTCTTGGTATGCTGATGTCTTAAGAGTTCCCTTCACTGGAACTAAGGGGCCAAGCCCAACCCCTGAAAAACAACCCCACACCATAATCCCCCCTCCACCAAACTTTACACTTGGCACAATGCAGTCAGGCAAGTACCGTTCTCCTGGCAACCGCCAAACCCAGACACGTCCATCGGATTGCCAGACAGAGAAGCGTGATTGGTCACTCCAGAGAACACGTCTCCACTTCTCTAGAGTCCAGTGGCGGCGCGCTTTACACCACGGCATCCCACGCTTTGCATTGCACTTGGTGATGTAAGGCTTGGATGCAGCTGCTCGGCCATGGAAACCCATTCCATGAAGCTCTCTACGCACTGTTGTTGTGCCAATCTGAAGGCCGCATGGAGTTTGGAGGTCTGTAGCTATTGGCTCTGCAGACAGTTTGCGACTTCTGCGCACTGTGCGCTTCAGCATGCGCTGACCCCGCTCTGTCATTTTACGTGGCCTACCACTTTGGATTTCGGATCCGAAATTTTGGATTTGGAAGGAATTTCGTCCAGATCCTGTGCGTGCGATGTTAACATTTAAACGGATAAAAACAAATTAAGAAAAGGATTTTAATGTCCCTTTAATAGTAAAGACGAGAGCACAGCAACCAGAAATGACAAATGTGCCAATTCTGCTACCCCACCTCAAGTTGAATTTTCGGGAATTCTTCCGAATTCCGAATCCGAATTCCGAATCCGACACGAATTCCGAATCAGATCCGAATACGAATCCGATTCCCGAAACACATATAGGATCCGAATTCCAAAAACGAAATAAATGAAATTTGAAACTAAACTAATTTTTAGCCGCTGCACATGTCTAATTCCCAGCATGAGTTGTTATTATTATTATTCATCATGACAATATTATTATTGATCTTGTTATTATTAGTAGTAGTAGTATTAATTTTTATCAATTACTTTTTTAATTAATATTTTTATTATTATAATAGACACCCATTGAGGGTATTAAACTGTATCATTCCTGTACTGTCTTCCTGTATCTTGTAAAGTAACACTCTCTTCTATCTCTCATTTGTAGTAGGGACAGTGAGACTACCTGTTCGTTGGTGTGACAAATACAAAGAAATTGGATCTTGAGAGTAACAATCTCATTGCTTAGTCCCCATTAAAACATTAGCACTTCAATACTTTCCTCTGATAGAACTGGGGGCTGCCACTAGATGGCAGTGTTACAGTGTTAAATTCTGAGCTTCCCCCAGCCAGCCACTAGATGGCAGTGTTACAGTGTTACATCCCGAGCTTCCCCCAGCCAGCCACTAGATGGCAGTGCTACAGTGTTAAATTCTGAGCTTCCCCCTAGCCAGCCACTAGAGGGCAGTGTTACAATGTTACATTCTGCGCTTTCCCCAGGCAGCCACTAGAGGGCAGTAGCACCCTGCAGTATATTCTCAATACTCTTTGCTTTGCCAGTATCATATTATGATCAATTATTTAGCAAGTGCATATCCCTGAATAAAACATTTTCTGCATTTCTTATACTGTGCAGAGTCAGAACAGAGGGCGGCGAGCACTGCAGGGAAAGGAACACCAGTTAATTATACCTTGGTGGAAAAGCTTGCTGTATATTACTGAATCCATAGTCCATGGAGCACCGGCTATTATAAGTCACCGGTAGAGCTGTGAACATAATGCTACATGCCGAATTTACATTTACAGAAAGCACAGGCAGACCTTGACGCTCAGGCCGCTTGGGAAAATCCAAATGCCGGCACTTCTTGGTACATCTTGCTTGGCTTCTTTTTACCTGAAGGGGCGAAAGGATACCCAAGCCCGCTCTCAATTATAGTTTTAGGACTTAACCCTAGACCCAATTTCCAGCACCTTGATTGCATTAGATGTGTTTAGGTGTGTCCACTGTTGACTAGGGTTGCCACCTTTTCTTCCATCGAAACCCGAACACTCTAGTGATGCACGGAAATGTTTGGGGGAGAATAAGGCGTGGCTTATTGATATGTAAATAGCACCACCCATTCATATGTAAATGTCACAGTCTGCTGCCATGTTTGGCGTCACTTTCCTGACGCCAATACATGGCAGCATACTGATGGGTATAGCTCCGCCCCCCCCCCCATCAGTATGCTGCCATGTATTGGCATCAGGAAAGGAAAATGACCGATAGGTAAGTATACAATTTTCCCCTATTAATTTTGGTTGCCTCTGTCTGCCTGACATCTTATGTCCGGGTTTAGCTGCCATGAAACCCAGACACAGCATTCACAACCTGGACTGTCCAGGTGAATCCTGGACAGGTGGCAACCCTACTGTTAAGTCAAATGATAATTGCCGCAGCAACCAGTGGGAAAACATACAGTGGGGGCTTCATAAAGACATAGTTACATAGTATTTGAGGTTGAATAAAGACATTAGTCCATCAAGTCCAACCTATTAGGATCTCATTCTAGGAGTACCCGTACCCCTGTATATTACGGTCCCTTAAGAAATCGTCCAAAAGTTTCTTGAACAATTCCACATTCTTTGCTGAAATCACTGTCTGTGGCAGTGAGTTCCAGACCCTAACTGATCTTACTGTGAAGAACCCCCTTCGCCCCTTGTGCTGGAATTTTTTTTCCACCAATTTTAGGTGGTGGCCTCTAGTTTTTGTAACGGAGTTAATTTTAAACAGTTTATCGCTAATGTTGCTACCACCATTGAACATCTTGTACATGGAAATCATATCCCCCCTTAATCTCCTCACCTCTAATGTGAACATGTTTAAATTTAGTAGCCTCGTCTCGTAGCTCTGGTCCTCCATACCCCTAATTAGTTTGGTTGCCCTTCGCTGGACTTTTTCCAACTCAAGGACATCTTTTCTTAGTACTGGTGACCAGAACTGGACCGCGTACTCCAGATGAGGTCAAACCAATGATCTATAAAGTGGCAAAATTATAGACTTGTCCCTGCAATACATCCCCTTTTTAATACAGGACAAGACCCTGCTAGCTTTGTTTACAGCAGCCTGGCACTGCAAACTACCTTTCAGTTTGTGGTCTACAATGACCCCCAAATCCTTCTCCATTTCTGACTTCCCCAGCGGCACCCCCATAATTGTATAACCCATTTGTTTATTTTTAATTCCAAAGTGCATTACTTTGCATTTATCGACATTAAACCTCATCTGCCACATTAATGCCCACTCCCCTATTTTATCCAGGTCCTCCTGTAATGTTATAGTGTCTAAGTCCGTGTCTATTACCCTCCCAATTTTGGTGTCATCCGCAAACACGGAAATATCGCTGTTAACACCCTCCCCGATGTCATTAATAAATAAGTTGAACAATATGGGACCCAGCACAGAACCCTGAGGCACACCGCTCATTACACTAGCCCATGGTTTGACCAGTTTGGTGTGGAGGAACTCAAGTGACCTGCACAGAGCCCTGATGAGACCAGGGCTCTGTGCAGGTCACTTGAGTTCCTCCACCCTACAGAACACCTTTGGGATGAATCGGAAAGCTGCTCGTGAGCCAGATTTCACCCAACATCACTACATGACCTCACAACTGCTCTTTTGGCTCGATGGGCACAAGTCCCCCCAGACACATTCTAAGATTGTGGAAAGCTTTTCAAAAAGGGTGGAGATTGTTATAGCCACAAGGGTAAAAACTTCATATTATTTCCCATGGTTTGGGAGCGGAATGTCCAACAAGCTCATACACTGTAGGTGTCCCCAAACCTGTGACCATGTATATAACATTGTTGTTGTATTTATCCCAATTACATGTTTTTCTTCCCTTCCAGAACCAGCAGTTTCGTGAATTCCTTCTCACCAAGCTGATTAATGCTGAGGTCAGCTGCTACAAAGCGGAGAGGTTCTCCAAGCTGCAGGTGAGACTCGTGTGTGGGGGTGTCTGGGGTCTTCTGAATGGTATCTTGATGAGTGTTAGGCATGATGGGCCTTGAGCTTACCAGATGGAATTACCCTGAGGGCTCAACCACGATTGTAGAGATCAGAGATCAAGTAGAGTGCTCTTCTGGGTCTCACTATTTTGCCATATGGTACCACTACATTAGATTTATTGTAGTGGTACCATATGGTGGTATGTGGTCTATAGGTGCACAATTGTTGTATTCTGATGGAGTCTGCTAGGAATGGACGAGGTATTCTCAGTGTTGTTAGAATTGTAGATTCAAATGTACAAGGTTAAGGCTGAGCATAATGTATGCATGCTGCTGCAGGGTTTAATTCAGTGTAAGGGATAAGGCCAGCCTCTGGCTTCATATCAGGCTTGGAAACTCCAACAGAAAGATCTCTCTTACCTTAATTTCTGACGCTGTTCTTGTCCACCTACGTTTTGTGTGTTTCAACCGAACTTTGTGTGTCCCAGCTCCTCCTGTTACATTCTTCATAATCTAAAATAAATTTAAACCCAGCATGGATGGTGGGAGCCCCTTATAATGGGCACAGCAGGTCTGCAGACCCAGGAACTCAGCACAGGGATAGTGGGAGCTCCTTATAATGGGCACAGCAGGTCTGCAGACCCGGGAACTCAGCACAGGGATGGTGGGAACTCCTCATAATGGGCACAGCAGGTCTGCAGACCTAGGAACTCAGCACAGGGATAGTGGGAGCTCCTTATAATGGGCACAGCAGGTCTGCAGACCCGGGAACTCAGCACAGGGATGGTGGGAGCTCCTCATAATGGGCACAGCAGGTCTGCAGACCCAGGAATTCAACTCAGTATTGGTGGGAACTCCTAATGGGCACAGCAGGTGTGCAGACCAGGGAACTCCACACAAGGATGATGGGAGTATGCACAAGTGATAGGAAAACTTGCCCTGAGCTACCAGCTAATGCCCAAACACTAAGGAAATGTATTGATTCTTTAGGAGCGGACACGCAGCTGCCTCATGTACACACTGTATGAAGAGCTCTGTCTGCACAGTCAGACAGTCCTGGGGACGATGGAAGAGAATTCTGGGGACAAGATGGAGAACTCATCTAGTGGCTTCCTGGAGAACTTTAAAGTAAGTGTGGGGGGAATGGGCATTATTCAAGGTGAATTCTTTGGGAAATGTTTCCATTTGTGTTCTCGTCTTCTCTATGGGTTTGGTACATATCAGGGGAGTGGTTGATGATGAATTACTTCCTCATGCGGGAATTTTATGACAACATGGTCTGCTGTCCTGCCCAAAAGTCCTAAAAGGTAACAGAATACATACTTAGTGTTGCCTCAGCCATGGCAGACTGTCATGTGACACAATGCCGAGCTTTAGTGGCGTGATTCACAGCGGCTTCGCCTATTCAGGGAGTTTGCAGTGTTCTTGTTGTCACACCTGATCGCCAGCCCCAAAGTGGTCAATGGGCAGCCAGAAGTCCGGGAGCTTCTGTAGCTTGCAGGAGCCATTTGAAGCCCATTGGACCCTAAAAACCACTTTAATTTTACCTTCCCCATTTCCCAAAGTGAAAACGGTAGAAGTTCTTTGAAACCTCTCGAATTTCGCTGGGTATATGGAAACTTTCGCCCATCTCTACTGGTCACATGACCAGGTGTCCCGGAGCCCTAGGGGGTCACCATACACTGTACAATATCTCTGTAGAACCTTCGTGTAGTCAACTATACCAAAGCTGTGTAGTATGAGGACCCCTTTCTGGCCTGAGTGTCCCAGGTTGCTAAGAGCTCTGAGCAACCTGTGACACTCTGACTGGGGTCCCTCCCAGCTACTGGCAACCAGTGACATCAGTGAGCTGGGCCGGACACTGGACAGAGGCACTGACCACTTCACCCTGACCTGCACCGCCAGCACAAACCACTTTTGACTTTTTTATTGACCTAAAACTTCAAGATAAAAGTTCCAACACATTTCAGGGGTCTTAGTGTGCCCCACGCCCTCACCTCTTCAGGGCTATGAATAACCGGTAGGTGTCAGCATGAACAGATGTCAGATAAGCTGCCTTGAATACTGTCCTGCTGGTTGGCATGCTGCATGATAAATATTTAATTTTAGGGTGATCTTAAGAATCTCCACCTCTCTTCAGTATATTTCCTCATTATAAAGTCTCTTTCCTTTAGACCTTCTCTCTGTCTCTGCGGAGCCCCCAGCGCTCCCGTGACGCACTCTCACGTGGGTGTAGAAGTAGCAGCATTGCGATAGAGGGCGTCTCCGAGGAGAAAAGGTACACAGGGCATGTTTGCATGTAGGGA